TGTCAAATTGTGCTGGGAGACAAAATGCTGTTTTAATTAGTCATCCCCATCGATCTGAGGCTGGGTGTTCCCGCAGCGGGGCTGGGAGCGAGGGACATGTCCCTTCTTGAGCGCTGTGCCGGGGCGTGCGCCAGCCTTGCTCCTGCACCGTGCTGGTGGCACGGGGTGGGACAGCAGCGCTGCTCATCTCCTCCTCTGCAGATATTTGAAAGAAACAGGTCGTTAACCTGTGCATTTAATTTAACACGTAGGGTATGTGGTTCTCTGTTCTTCCCATGCAGTTCTAGTAAGTAGAGTAGCTACAGCGGGCTGAAATATCCCCCAACTTTGTTTAATTGATACTCAGATGTGATAGTTTAATAAGGGGTTGTCGTTCTTAATTTGTACCCGTGCAATTAAGAGCAGGTTCTTTCTTTCTTTAATTCCATAAACATTAGTATAGAGTAAATCGTAATACTTACATTTGCTTTCAAGGGGTTTGTCACCTCTGTGCTCCCATGTTTATTGGGCTACAGAGATACTGCATAAACCAATCTTAATAAACCGAAATCTGCTCCATCGTGTTTGCAGTTCAAAAGGAAGCTGCGGTAGGAGGGCTGTGATCCTGCGAGTGTCAGCGGGATGCTGCATGGGTTTACTAATACCTGCATGAAAGAAATTGTGGACTCCAGAGTCTTAAATTTTGAGTCATAGTGGTGCATGGATTAGATGACGTGGGCAGAGTAGCAAGTTGGGGCAAAAAGTGTTGTTGAGTATTGTGTCCTGTAATGCAGAGTATTTACAAATCACGTGTTTATACTGGCTGCTCAACAGATTTGTGAATGTGCCGAACTTGATATATCAGGAAGAAATTCTTGACTGTGAGGGTGGTGATCCCCTGGGGCAGGTTGCCCCGAGAAGCTGTGGCTGCCCCATCCCTGGAGGTGTTCAAGGCCAGGTTGGACGGGACTTGGAGCAACCTGGTCTAGTTGGAACTGGATGATCTTTAAGGTCGCTTCCAACCCGAACCATTCTATCATTCTATGATGTTTGATCTCAGTGGGACTACTCGTATTTATGGTTAAGCGTGTTTTTAAGTCTCTGCAAAATTAGGCTTCTGAACCTGATTCAAAGCAGGCTGTAGTCATGACTCGAATGGATTTGGGATCTGGATCATAAAACCCAAACTGTTGAGCCAGCACCGTGCTCACCTGGCAGCCTGGGATGTGGAGGGTGGGACAGGGACACTGATGCCGTGCGGAGCTGGTGATTCCGGCCAGCCTGCCGTGGCATGCGGGGAGAGCTGGGCCCTGTTCCCCGTGAGAGCAAAAGCACCGTCCTTCGTGGTCTATTTATTGATAGAACATATGTTGGTTGGGAGATGACACTGCACAGGCTGGGGGTCCAGAAAGGCTGGTGGGATGTGTCCCCGGCAGCTGTTAGTGGCAGCTCTGCAGCTACCATCTCTTGTGGAGATGGGGAACTGAAATGTTCAGGACTACTGCTACCATCAAGAAGTGGTACTCAAGTTCAAAGTTATTAGGAAAAAATGTGGCTGGAGTAAGGTTAAATCCAAGCTTTTTATTTTCATAGCCTTGGATCTGATAGATTCCTGTTCTCTTCATGGGAATTCTATTCTTATCTTCAATTTTTAGATTGCTCCTTGCCCTCATGTAAATATCACGAAGTTGCTAAGTCTGTGCAGGGAGGCTTTAACCTAGGCACGTAAGAGAGTTACCAAGCAGAGATGAGTTTTCCTTTGGTTGCAGCCAGTCCTTATGTTTGCCAAGGGCACCCTGGGGGTTTGCTGCCTGTTGGGCTGATTTTGATTTAATTGCCCAGAACTGCATCGTAGGGTGAAAACTTTGCCATCTGTGATACTGGAAAATACTCAGATTTGGCTCTGCTGGAAGTGCTTTGTCTTTAATGGAATCTTCACCAGGGCTGGCTCTCGGGTCCCACAGCTCCAAAGGATGCTTTCTCTTTTCTCCCTGTGGCAGTGATAACTTCACGGAGGTGGTGCTCACGGCAGCACTCGGAGCTAACTCCTCAGTTCAGGTTTTCTTCAGGCATGACTTGCATGCACTACAGTATTTCCTACTCAAGCAAATCAAAATATTTTCCTACTTAGAACACGTTATGTGTATTCTACTTGGCCTGCTTTGTGCGGGAGTGGAGGTACGCGGTCCCTCTGAGCGATTTGCCCAGTTGGCCAAGGATAAAAGCAATGAATTCATTTCAGCCCTAACCTAATCTGAGTTAACGTGCAGGGATCCCACTGGTGAAAAGCAAGGGCACTTGGCCACGGCCATTCCTTGATCCTTTAAGAGTTTGAATCCCTGTTAAGCATGCTTGTCTTACAACCTGCACTCGCACAGGATGTAATCAGTTTTGTTTTCCATCTGTTAAACAAGAGGCTTCTGATTAGCCAGTGCAAACAGAAATAATTATTTTTGTTCTTGCTGACAACAGCAAGGTTAACCCCCAGGTACATAGCTCGGAGTGTTCTCCACACTCAGCAATTTTAAACACCTTGCTCTGTGTGCATTACATGATTTGCCTTACAACCGGCAGGGATTTGGCTTTCAATATTGTCCCTTAATTATAGTAATTGCCTAAGTGGAGATCTCGACGTCTCCCACTGTCCTATGGCCACAGCCCAGACTGCAGCCGTGGAGCAGCCTATCGCAGCTCGTCCACCCGACCAGATAGACAGTGGAGATACACAAATGGCTTGGATCCGGGAAAAACATCACCTACAAAATCCAAACCAAAAGCATTCAGCATTCAGTTTTCAGGAAAATATTTTGATTTTAAGAAGTCACTCAAAGGACCTGTTGATAAAATATACCCGGTAGATTCCAACGTGCAGCTGGCAGAGCACTGCATTAGCTGTCAAGGCAATGCTTATTTGATTTCCAAATGTAGGGATTTTTAACATTTTTAATTTTGGATGGTGGTAAATGGAAATATCCACCAGAGGGTTCTCCCGAGGCCGGGCTGCTGTGGCAGGCGGAAGCGTTGCCTGTACAGCCTGTAGGGAATCCGCCCATCCCTCTCCCCAGTGCTGCCCCAGAGTGGGCTTTAAGCTGTGATCTCCAGGCCAGGCATTGTACTCAGCTTCTAGTCACTTTAATAAGGAGCAGAGGAATTACTTAAAGAAATCTGTTAATACTTGGGTTTTGGTTTTTTGTGCGTTTTTTTTTTTTAAAGGCTGGTTTTGTGTATAAGCATTAAATCCCTGCTTTTGTGTTCACAGAAAAAATGGAGAGAGACATTTAGGTTGAATATAAGCAGCTAAAACTGCTTTGGAATATGGAATACTTTTTTTCTATTTTTTTTTTTTTTAATTTAACTGTTTAGCTGCTTATGTATGCGGGACTGCATCTTATTACTGAATTATAACTGGAAAGAGATGACACGCATCCAGGGAGTCTCTGCAACTGAAGCTACATCACAGTGTGCGCCCGTGTATCCTACTTTATTTATGCTCTGAGAAGTCTGTTTGCTTTTATTTGGCCACCAGATCTGTTTTGTTCCCTCTAGGACAGGGATTCTTCATTTATGCAATAACAATATCCTGCTTTAACAGGCAGCAACTTGTTGGATGGAGTGCTTGAGGCGCTGGGTGACTGCTGGAGCTCCCAATCTGGCGTTGGTGGGGCGGCGTGTTTGCCCCGAGAACAGCCTCCAAGTCTACGGCCAGAAAGACTTTTAAGAGCACCCTCATGTTCAGAGCTGGCTGTTTTGTTTGTGGTTTAAAGGAATAGTTTTCTGCTAACGTTGGATAGTCTGGAGTAAGGATTGGCAGGCAATTTTTTTTAAGCATTTGCATACTTGTGTAATAAACTGCTGATTACTTTTATACAACCAAAAAGTTTGGGAATATGGAATTTTAGTGCAACACTGGGTATTGACAGGACCAGCTTTTTAAGTATGACTTATCTCCTTTGCCTTTTTAAAATTATGAAATCATGCCTATAAAGACAGAAGGTGTACACCATTTCAGACTGTTTGACTTGGCACCCCTAGAACAAATTACCGTACTTGGATAAGAAAGTAGATGTGGTTGGTTTGTTCCTCTCAGGATCCTATTTTCTCCTCTGTGTACGATGTGGCAATTTTCTCAGAGGAGGAGAAAATGGGATCCCATTTTTTGTGGGAGGCCACTGAACTAAGAATGGCCAGGGCTTGCTGAAGGTGTGAAAGTGTGAACCTATGTGGCAATGTGGGCATCCCGACCGCCAAAACCTGATGGGGAGAGCTGGCCCTGCGGTGGCCACACCATTGGGCTAGTGCCTTGCTCCGGGCTGTGCCGAGAGCGCCAGGCTGCAGCTGGCTGCCGGAGCGGAGTTGTGGCTACCCTCCTGACTGCCTGACTTCCCCATCTAGCATCTCTTCCATCTTTATTTTTCTCAGCAAGCTCGTTTTTTTTCTCCAGTTGATGAGCAGAAAAAGTCAAGGAGAAGTGAAGGTGAAGAATGGCCATTTATCGATTTTGCTAACATAAATGATATCCATTTGCTGCTGTGAATTAGTGGGGGAGAGATGCTCCTGACAGTAGCTGCCTCTCCTGGTAAGATTTCCTGAGTGGGTGACTTGCAGCCCTAATTCTTTGCATCACTGTGCGTAGATGCATTGCAAGAAACGGAAGAAATGTTTCCGAGAAATGATTTTAAAAAAAGAAGTCGTTCATTCATGCAGCTATACTGATAAGAGAACAACAGTTCACTCTTTGGAAAGGCATGAGAGTGCTGTTGTTTTTTTTTTTTAATATATGTTTGTTCTGCAACCTGTTTCTCATCCTCGATGGCAAATGCATGGTAATTGCTTCTGCTGGCTAATGAGCAAAATCAAATCATACTATTTGCTATAGCTACTTTCTTCAGGGTGTATTTAATTAATAGGTGGTGGACAGAAAATAAAACTGGCTGAAATGGGCTTAAGTTTCTTGTTGCGTACATGAATTAAATAAGTTTCTGAACACTGTAATTTCCCTTTCTTTTTTTTTTTCCCCAGAAAATGGCTGTTCCACCTGCTTATGCTGATCTAGGCAAATCTGCCAGAGATGTTTTCACCAAGGGATATGGTAAAGAAAGCCAAAATAAATTTGGTCTTTTACTGTCTACCTGATTCCTGAAAACGTTAGGATTTTATTACTTTCCTCTGATAAATATTCCAAAAATTTCCATTAGAATCCAGAGAATTCTGTATTGTAGCTTTGCATTGCCCTTGCTGTCTGGAAAGGAAGGGTAACAACTTCATTTTGATAAAAGTCTTCCTGTTCTCCATAGGACCGTTGTCTGTTTTGAAAGAAAATGCTATGATGTATTTTGCCTGTTTCCTTGTATCGTGAATAGGATCACTGATGTCAGTAGTTTGCTTATGAACAAAATACTGCTTAGGATGAATAAAGACATTATTACCTAATTTGGTCCCTATTATATTGCTGAGGTCAGTAGGATTAATCAGTCAAGTACTATCTGAAGTGAGTACGAACTGCGTAGTGCGCTTCATAAAAACACATGGGTTGATAACTGTATCCTTGGTTCATTTTTTTAATAGTTCACAGGAGATTTAAAAGGGAGTTTAAGAAATAAATCAGAAATGCTTCTCAAATTAACATATATATAATTCATATTTTTTACTCTTCTTCTAGGTTTTGGGTTAATAAAACTCGATTTGAAAACAAAATCTGAAAATGGACTGGTGAGTTTGGAAAGACATTGAAATCCAAAACATCGCAACGTTCTTGTGTTTACTGTATATTTCTTTTTAAAAGTAGAATCCCTTATTCTGCCCTTACTGTTTGTCAGATATCCTATTACCGTGCAAGTTACTTTGCAATTTATAATTTTTGTACAATATATGAGACTGTGCCCAGATTGGGGTAGAAGAGAGAGTGAGGGGCTGCTTCGCTTTGGTACTTGCTCACTATGAAAACTGTGGTGCTGTTTGAGGCCATCCCCGTGGCCTGTGCTCAGAGGTAGTGTCAGTGCCTCCCTCCTGCTTTACTGGATTGAACGAGGTTTCTGAATGCGCTGCATGCTCTTTTTTCTTAGCAGTCACTAAGCAAGTACAGTTGCAATGTAACTGTGTATTTGAACTAATAGTTAGAACATCTCTATGAGGCATTTGCAGACTTGCACGCTGATTCGCAGGTAGACCTTGTACGGACTGGCACTGTGTTCCGTAGGGTGCCAGTGGAAGGGTTATCCGCGCTCCTGTCCCGTATCCATCCCCTGAGCATGCAACGCTGCTTCTCTCTGACGCTGAATTGCTTTGTGGGGCAAGAATCTGTTGGTATTAATGACTAGCAAACGTTCTTAAACCTTCTGAGAACTCTGCAGTATTGAGTAATATCCCAAATTATAATGACTAATATGTGCTACAAGTGTAAGTATTTGCCTGTGTGCAAATACACATACATATTTGCAAGTATATATATGTATCCATCTTATGTGCATATATATATATTTTTTTTTTTTTTTTTCCCTTTTAGGAATTCACAAGCTCAGGTTCAGCAAACTCAGAAACGAGCAAAGTTAGTGGCAGTCTGGAAACAAAATACAAATGGGTGGAATATGGATTGATGTTCACAGAAAAGTGGAACACCGACAACACACTAGGCACTGAGATTACTCTTGAAGATCAGGTAATTTTTGGCTCAAAAGATAAAATTTACAAATTAACTTATGACAACCTCTAATTACAAATCCAACCATTGAATTTCTTTTCTGTTCAGCTTGCACGTGGCCTGAAGCTGACCTTTGACTCCTCCTTCTCTCCTAACACTGGGTAAGAAGTGAGTAAGCTTAAGTGACAAAAAAAGGCATTTTTTTATTTTAGTTTTCCAGAATACTGTCTTGCTTCTTTACTTCTGTCCTAAGATATCGAGACAGTTAATAATCAGCCTGTGTATGATGAAATCATGTACATCTGATTTAAATCATAGTATTAACAAACCCTTTTTAATCCTAAGCTATAGCAAACAAACTTTCAAATACTTGAACTTGAAAATTATAGTCAGAATTAGGGTGGGAAGAAAAGGTTTTGTTTGCACTCCTGTTGCTTATTTCTGGCGATGTCAGAGGATGAGCTACTGTCTGAATAAAAGCGCTAAACAAGTCAGCTGTAATGCAAAGCTTAACAAGCTCTGGGAGCCAGTTGGCCACGGCTCTAATAGGTTGACACAGTAATTGGGCTCTTTTCCCGAGCTGAATTTATCATCTGAATTCTTGCTGGCCACAGCCTGCCTCAGTGGTGGATGAACATTTCTGATACGGCGATTGGATGCCACATTTTATGTGGGCCAGAGGGATTAAGCAGCAGCTGTAGGTCTAGATGTTGGTTTATTTTTTTCCCCCGATTATCTTTTTGCAAGCAGTGCTGCCAGGGAGTCAAAATATTCTGCACATTAGCTTCCCAGAGCAGCACGCTGCACTGCAGGCTGCCGGGGTTATAGTCCCAGTGGAGGTTTCACCTTGTCTTTTAGATTTCGTGTCCTGCATTGTCAACTGTTTCCAGTCCACTCCTAATTCTAGATTAACTAGATATTTTTGTATTTGTTAACCAGAATAATCTCTAGTGTTTGTTGATGATTATTTCTTAACTGGTAGGATTCTTAAAGAAATAAAAAAAGAAAAAACCTTGTATGAGAATGACAAGTTACAGCTCTATAGCTGTTTCTTAGGCACTTCACAGACACTGGAGTACCTGAGTTAGAATGATTGCCTTGTGGGAAGACTATTATAATTGGCAGAAATGGAGTGAGATTCAATCCTGGTGTGACCTGGTTTAGGTCGACAGGGATGCATCATGTCTCAATACGAGACACTTTCTCCCCCTTCCTTCCTACGTACTGGCTGTGATCCGTCTTTCAACAGGGAAAGTGATTTTTAGGAGTGCTTCGTGTTAGCTTGCCCCTGTCCCTGTTGACATTGGTGGGAGAGGTACCACTGACTTTTACAGAAGCTGCAAATGAGCTAATGCTGAGTGCTTTTGGCACGCCTGCTCTTTATTTCTAATTTTTCAAACCACAAGAAATTCCTGAGTCTGAAATAATAATAATAAAAAAGAAAGCAATCTCTATGTGGGTCTGATACAACATTGAAAGAGTTCTCGGAGACTGTTTTTGCTAGTTGAAGTGAAAGGTCGATTTGAAATTTCCAATTAGCCTGACTTTTCCAGAAAGATTTCAGTAAAAGACTTGGTCAAAGACAGAAGACACTTGTAAGGTAAAGACAGAAGAAAAAAATTTTAGATAAGAGTAGCTGAATATATTAGACGTAACTTCTTGCCTTGTGAGGGTCTGCACCCTTGATGTAAACTGACCTGAGGATGCATGAGAAAACATGGTGCTGGCCAATGTAAAAAGTGTAAAAAGAAACAAGTGACTCAGGAAAGTTTATTTCTGCGTTAACCCGGCAGCCTTTCCAATGGCTGTCACCACTGAACTTCATAAAGCATCCTAAGGAGAAAACAGGGTGTCAGTGCCACTGAAGCGGCCTGCTTCCTTAGCAGCAGAGACTTTCCCTCGGGAGGCTGGAGGCAAAGTAGTGATTTCTTGATGTTTGTCACAGTAAATGGAATTACCCAGTTCACTGGGATTGCCTAAAAATTGTTTGTTTGGGACAGGCCAACTACTACTGACGTTCTGTGCCAAACCTGTAAACTGCTACAGTTTCAGTTCCTTGCCTGTATCTGCCAAACTTCCAAACCCATCAGATTAGTTGGAGACGAGGTTTTGTTTTCATCACCTCCAGTCTGGCTTACTGTGCTGCTCTTTTCCAGAACACAGCCTGGGAGCGCTGAGTGGGGCGTCGAACTGCATTTTATTGCTTGATTGCAAATAATTCACTGTAGCTAAATTAGGGTTTTGCAAATGGGAAAGGTAAGGAGGTGACATATCATGTGGCTCTCCAGGTATCTATACTTTGCCTTCAAGGACTATTACACTGAGTTAAAGCAACTGATGTGATTGAATCGCTACCTACGAGCATACCTTTTCAGAGATATGAGATTCTTTCTTTTCTCTTTAGGAAAAAGAGCGCTAAAGTCAAGACAGGGTACAAAAGGGAACATATCAACATTGGCTGCGACATGGATTTCGATATTGCTGGTCCTTCAATACGTGGAGCCCTGGTGGTTGGCTACGAGGGGTGGCTGGCAGGTTACCAAATGACTTTTGAGACAACAAAGTCTAGAGTAACCCAGAGCAACTTTGCGGTTGGCTATAAGACTGATGAATTCCAGCTTCATACTAATGTGTAAGTATTGGCAGACAGGTGTTAAAAAGGAATTGGAAAGGATTTTGCTGCTTATTAGAGCAATGAAAGGGACGGTGTTCAGCAGCGGTGAAAGAGGGAATGGTGGATTTGAAATTACTTCTTATGTAAGATGGCAAGCTGCAGTTTTTTAGCTGCATTAACTTTTCTTTGAATTATGTGGGTGAGGGAGCGCATGATGGAAGGAACTGGACCTCACTGAGCACCCAAGCATCCAGTGTCTATCTTTCTAACAGATAAGGATTATTAGAATCTCTTAGTGGAATAATAAAACAAGTGGGTTATAAAACTGTTCTTTGTGAAAGTTGAAATAAAAGCAATGCCTTCCTTTTGCACACGTCAAAATCAAACAAAATGGTGGATAAAAGCAATGCCTTCCTTTTGCACACAAAATCAAACAAAATGGTGACTTGATGTAGATGATGGAGTTAATCGGAGGATGAACAAGAACAAACAAGGGAATGAACGGAAGATATATGGACTGGGTTTGTTTTAGTACTGGAAGGGATATGGTATAAAAGTTTGGTTTAGTATTGTAACTCCTAATAATCTATTTACACAAGCGTTTGTCCTTTCTGAACATGTGAGCACTGGGAAACAAGGACAAAATTCCATGAAAACCTTAATTTCTCTGTCTCCTGTTCCTCTTAAAAAAGCAATTTATGCCTTTGGAGAAGACAGTTTTTTAAGATTAGGCAATCCCTAATCCATTCCCCCCCTTTCCTGTTCCCCTGGGTAATTGGATATTTTGCATGTAGCTGAGCTGTTGCAGGCTGTTCCCATTTGGGAGATGAACAACTGTTCTGCTTTCCTGGAGCTGCTTCTTCAAAGGTTTTCTCTTCTGTTTCATGCTGTTTTGCAGCAATCTGGTTTAGGAAGCTCAAACTGCCTCACAGAACAATTGAACCTTCGCAGCCCAGACAGTATGTTTGAAGGACTGCCAAAGCACAAGAATGTGGGCAGAAAACTTTCATCAAAACAATATGCGGGTTCCCCCTCCACTCCGTAGTTACAAGTTACTCTTTCAAGCACAATGACTTTCAACTATGTTATGCTGTAGCAGTTCAAAACACTGTATTATTGGCTTTTGCTATAAAATGCTGTAATTATTATTACTCTTAATTAAAGCAACAGCAGAAAATAACGTTATAATAGAAGCAGGGGCTCAGATCGGACCGTACTGCTTCCTGGATTCCTGAGGGTCTGTTTCTTAGGTTGCTGTTACTGTACACGGATGATAAATCATCTTCAGGAGGATGCCTAGTTTGCTTATTCAATATTCCTTCTCTATCAATTGACAGGCAAACCCATCGATGCGTGATATGAATAGAAATCTTTACTGATATTAATAGATGAGTTAGGTACTTGACATGTTTCATCTCTGAAAGGTGTCAGAGTTTTTCTATAATCCCAGAAACAGCTGTGCATGGAACTCCCATGGCTAGTCTGCTGGGTCGTTGTATCTCGACAGTTCGGTGTTGCACAGGGATGCTGTGGCAGAGCTGATAATTTAACTAGGTGGGGGTTGAAGCATCACCTTTTGTTCCTGGCACTACACAGATCAGCTGGGGACTTCAGCAAGTTACTTTCCTTAATGGTGCCTTAATATACTAATTTTCATAGGGGGATAATGTTTTTATCTACATCTGAAAAGTGCTATTATTACTATTTGAATTACAAGGAGGTTTGACTTTTTAATTATTATTTTTTAATAATAAATAATAACTAAAGGGAGGTAGGGCTGGATAATTTCTAGTTTTAAAGATGACTTGCCTCATTTTTTAAGCATAGCTCAGACCGCGCCCCCCTAATGTTGCAGGTCAAGACAGAGCTGTGTGGGAACCTTGCACAGAATCTGCCTGTGTAACCAGCTCTCCTCAGTCCTTTTTAACCCCTCCTTTTCTTGAGAGCCAAGCACATGCAGTTATATGTGAGCTTCAGGCTTATCTGAAGTAAGTATTTTAGTGTTTTTCTGGAAGAATTGCTCTAACAATTTAAAAGGCTGCTGCTATTGCTCGAACTTTGAAATAGGCATAGCGCTACTGTTTGTGCAAGTGTTATGAACATCATGCCAAAGGGGTAAAAGTGGAAAGATTCTAGATCTGCCCCTATTAGGTTTGGTATACTCTAATAATTGGAACCAGATTATTTCGTAGTTTAGAAGTAATCGTTGACTATTTTGTTTGCAGAGGTCTTCTGTGGTTTAAAGCCCGTTTTGTGCAGTATGTTTGTATCCTCTTTTAAGAAAATCAGCGAAAACGGAAATTCAGATGCTCACTGGTTTACAAGGAGTGCGAGGCTTTTAGAAGTCTTTGGCTCTTGTTTGTAGGATCTGCGTGCTCTAACATTTTACGTTTTGTTTACCACACTTTATTCCCTGTGTAGTAATTGGAAGCTGTGCTACTTGGTAGCAGTGGTAGAAGGCTGTCATCATTCAGCTGTTGGCCAGTGCTCTCTGCAAAGTAAAACTGGTTTCATTTCAATTTCTAGTAGAGAGAAATCTATAGTACAGATGTACATTAAGGACTATTGCAAATGGTATTCATTTGCAAAAAACGATAGACTTGGATGTTAAATTAGCGTCTTCACTTCCAATACAGTTCATCTGTGTCCGGTAAAAGCCTGCTGACGAGGCAGCGCTCCGGCTCAGTGGTTGGGGTACAGCCCTTTCAGGGCACTGGGGAGACGTATGCCTGGGAAAATAATTATTTCAGAGATACACAGCGAAGAATAAATCTCTTTACTATACAAGACTCCCATCTAGACAGAAGGGAAAATTGGAACCCGTCATCATTAGTCTAGTTTTGATAGTTTGTTATGTCTTTTTTTTTCAGTTTCATAAGTTATTTGTTGATATATAGTAACCATCAATGAATTTAAGCATTTAAAAATGACTTCATAACCAATCTGGCCTAATGTCTCCATCTTAGTTGTTACAGGGATATGAAATGAGGTGTGAGCATTCTGCAAACATAGATCTCACTGGAAAAAAAAAAAACAAAACATGATTGTTTTGGGGCGTAGTTTAAAACTAGAGTAATGCATTCCTTCCAGGAATGACGGAACGGAATTTGGAGGCTCCATTTACCAGAAGGTGAATGATAAACTGGAAACGGCCGTGAATCTTGCTTGGACAGCCGGTAATAGCAACACTCGCTTTGGAATAGCAGCCAAGTATCAGATTGACCCAGATGCCTCTTTTTCTGTGAGTGCTATTATGCATGTACATTTATAAGCATTTGAAAATGGGGCCTATAACGGAAATGTGAAGCAATGTTTACATCAGTAAAGTGCAGTTTTGATGCAGTTTTGCAGTATATAGTTGGCACATAGATCTATTTGTCTTGGTTTTGGCACAACTATTGGATTTTCCTTGAAAGTGACACAGAATGTTTTATCGTATTATTGGGCACTGTTTTGAGATTTTAATTTTGAGGCAAAATTAACTCTAGAATTTTTTTTTTTTTTTTTGCGATTTAAAAGATGAAATCCTTTACGTGCTTAAAAGGTTATTTGATTTTCAAGTTGGAAGGACTTTGAAGAAAGATACTGAATTATTTACATACGGTATTTTTTTCCTTTAAGGCTAAAGTGAACAACTCCAGTCTGATCGGATTAGGATACACTCAGACTTTAAAGCCAGGTAAGTCTATGCAGAAGAAATTCAGGCATGAATAAGTGATATTTTAGTCTGGAAATCTCAGAGGTTTTTTTGTGACAAAATGTGAAATGTTTTGTAACATTGCTGTTCTGCATGGCAACCCAGTGATGATTAACTGCTCTGTTAATTTTGGATGTCTGTTGGAAGCACAATTATTAGAGACCACCATCCACTGACCAGCCAGATATTCTTTTTTGTTGACATAAACTATGTCTACAATTAAGTGTTTCGCAGATAAGTAAATGCATTTTTAGCACTTTCAGAGGTTTCCTATTACTGAGTTTATTTTGCTTGAAAATGTGACTTTCTCAAGGTGCCCTGGTCCGGGAAGAGGACAATCTTACTGCTGTGAAATTGGTTTTAATGTAGTCTAATAAATCTGCTGCCAGAATACCAAGCTGATTGACATGAGATATCGCAGTAGAGGGGCATTGGGCCTTTTCATACCTAGATTTGAAAGTAGTTTGGAAAGGTGGGTATGTATCAAGGTCCCAATTTTTCACAATACTGGACTCTAAAATTAGATTAATCAGTAGACCAGCAGCAGTGAACTGACTCAGAGCTTTAATTACTTGCAGTGATAAAAAGCAGAATCTGTCACCGTGGTTTATTATAACTTTCATAATTCAGAAAGATTTCATATCTGCAAATTGTTTAAAAATGCCCAGTCGTTACAAGGCTAGCCGCCAAATTATGTTAACCTAGCTACCCAATAAATTAAAGCAGCAACACAGACACTGCACTTACTGAACGTAAAGCTTATTCCAAATTTTAACAGTTGTCTTTTTCTCTCACTGTTCTCTATTTTGCAGGTATCAAACTGACATTGTCAGCTTTGTTGGACGGCAAGAATGTCAATGCAGGTGGTCACAAACTTGGTCTAGGATTGGAATTTGAAGCATAAGGAGTGATTCTACAATCGCTAATCGGAAAATACAGCATAGCTACCTTCAGAATATAGTGTACCTTTCAATGTTTTATGTCTGGGATGCAAGTATTGCTAAGTATCAGTCCTGCTAGTCCTGGTGAAAGACAGCTAAGCTTTAAAAATGACGTTGTTAATGAAGTGGAGACAAAACCATAAAAAAAAAAAATCCAAATTCCAGGTGTTCTTCTTTTGAATGTTATTGCCCATCACATCTGTCAGCTGCCACATGATAGGAAGTCGGAAGGTATTTGTTACCTTTACTAATGTATTGACTGCACAAGGCATATTTTAATGTGGTATAAAACCTGAGATGCTAAGAATTGCTGACCACTATATTGTGCTGTTAATTCCATAAGCAAAATGTTCCAACACTTAAGGCTTCAATTCACAATGGAATGTGCAAACTTGTCTGAAAAAGGGATTTTTTTAATTTTTTTTTTTTTTTAGATAAGCATTTCATGAATGGTTTTTCTTTTTTGGTTATCTTACATCTACAGCTGTCTCCAGAATGCTTTAGGTTGTCCACCTTGTGTAAGTGCGTTGCAGAGGAGGTTTGATGTGACTCAGCCAATACTACCTGTCCTGTGTTGTGGTTCCTTTCCCTTGCACTGACTGGAAAGCTTGTAAAACAGGGCCATAATCAGGGAAGAGTCTTTGTACCTGCAATCACATAGTTGCATCACTAAATTTAAAATGGACTTTTGTTTTATTACCACTTTTTTTTAGCAACTTAAATGGGTACATTTTTAGAGAGTCTTCCATTTTGTGTGGAACTAGACCCCAAAATGCTGTACTTGACACTACTAAAAATGGATAAAAAACCCAAACCCAACTTGAATAAAATATTGAAATGTCACCTTTTACTTTGTCTTTATATTAATTGTGAAAACAATTCCATATTAACTATGGGTTCCAGAAGCAGACTGGCAATACCTTTGTGCGTATTTTGTACCACACAGACAAAAAATACTTAGTACATTTAAGTTCCAGACATGGCCACGTTCTTAGTGCTTGCTAAGCTCTGGCAACTGCACATACGCATGTGTTTAGTTTAGCTCATGGAGAAAACACGGTAACATGACTTGTTTCTCTTTCTTTCATTGCAGAATTCACTAAGTTGAATTACCTTTCTATAGGCAAATAGGTACAAGCAATGAACAGTTATCAGTTGGGATAAACTTCAGCAGCTTTTCATTAAAACTTGGTACTTTTCCCTGTGTAAGCAGTCGACGTGGGTGGTGTGCAGATGGCGAGAGGCCACAGTAAAGGAGCACGTGGCTGATGAGGCAGCGACATTACGACATCGTGAGACGGGTAGATCCGTCTCAGCCACAGCCCGCAGGTTGTGCAACGCCGGCTGCCTTCCCTCTCACCACAGGCTATCCCTCAGGACTTCCCAGTATGGCTTATCTCAAATATTTAACTTCACACTCCTGGGGGACATAGTCCTCTTCTAGATTTCACCAAACAAATCACATGCAGCCAGCTCACAGCAACTTGGCACGTGCTCAAAATTAATTTTATGTTCCTGTATGCTGTTCAGAGCTTGTGTTCTGCATCCCTGTTAAGCCTCTGGGCTCCTTGTTCTTAGTTTTCACAGAATCACAGAATTTTCAGAGTTGGAAGGGACCTCTAGAGCTCACCCAGCCCCACTCCCCTGCTAAAGCAGGATTGCCCAGAGCACATCCCTCAGGACTGCATCCAGGCGGGTTTTGAAAATCTCCAGAGAAGAGGACTCCACCCCCTCCCTGGGCAGCCTGTGCCACTGCTCGGTCACCCCAACTGTTAAGAAGTTTTTTCGTGTGTTGGAACGGAACTTCCTCTGTTCCACCTTGTGCCCATTGCCCCTCGTCCTGTCACTGGGAACCACCGAGAAGAGTGTGGCTCCATCCTCCTTCAACCCATCCTTTAGATATTTGTAAGTAGTAATAGTGTCTCCCCTCAGCCTTCTTTTCTCCAGGCTAAAGAGTCCCAGCGCTCTCAGCCTTTCTTCATAAGGGAGATGCTCCAATCCCTCAATCATCTTGGTTGCCCTATGTTTTCTCATGCTGGGTTTGTTTTCCCGTGATCAGCTTCAAGGCTTCTCTCAGGGCTTGCATCACCTCACTCAGGGTGAGAACAGGAAAGCTTTTTTTTTTTTTTTTTTTTTTTTCCATAAATCACCAAATTGTGTGAAAAGCCCAGTCACACATGCATCACTGGTGAACACCATCCCAGGGCTGTGGCCCTGTGTGGAGGGCACAACCCCTAACGTCTTCCTCTGCTTGAAGGAAGGCAAAGGAAAAGGCCTGTTCTCAGTCAGGGCGCTGGAGGCGCTTCCAGCTGGCTGGGCCCTGCCTGCTCAGGCCACCTCGGGCGCCGCCCGCCTTCCCACCA